AAAATATTCCTCCATACATATTCACACGTACTCCCTTTCAGATGAGAAATACACACTGATACGTATGTTGTCGAGAGTTTTGACGCTATCAGATACCGGTTCGCGAGTTGGATTGTAATCAAATGATAAATGACGTCTTGATAGAGACGTTTGATATAACTCTGTGAGATTAGTAATTGCGCATTGGAGAAATCGGTGAACTAGCTGCTTCGCTTTCTCGCATATCTGGCATATAATCAAGTGCCATCAAACACGCAAACACGGTCATCACCATTCGGGGCTTTACCTGTAATATAACGACACCCCTTATAAACTTTATAAATTGTTTATGGCTTCAACAGCCATTTCATTGCATTCACTATTATCTCCTACAAGCATCAAATGAAATACATCCGAACTGTAATATTTTTGCGAACACAATATATCCCTGTGATTTTGAGAGAATCCACTAGGGAATTAACATTTGAAGTATACAAAGAATTCGATTTTGAGTGGGTATTTTCTAATATTTGATGTCTCTTTTCAAATTTCTAATACTTTGTATATATCCTTTTTCTTGAACACCTATCAGCCAAATAATTGTTTCTCATAGGCGAGTGAATTACCCTCTCGATGGGTAATTTGAGGGCATAAGGAGGTAATTGAGAGTATAAATGAACTCGTTGACAAATTACAGTTTAATCATCGTTCTAAATCTTTTTCTCCGATTTGTTTCCATTATTAATTGCTGAGTTTTACATTCTTTTTGAAACTGATGAACAAAGTTGTAGAATTATTCGTTTCACTCCAAAAAACTAATTTCTTAACGGCATATCAGAACATCAAAGGGGGTAATGGCGCGAGGAACACTGCGCTAGACCATAAATTACTAACAGATCGAAAATTGACATTAAGATGTAATAAAAAGTAATAAATGTAATAAAAAGTAATCAAACCTCAACGATATCCTCGGGCAATGCATAGATCTTAGCACCAATTTTACGCGCTGACGTGATCGCATATTTTGCGTTTGCCATATTTTCCTGAATTCGATTAGGATTAACACCGCAGACACTGGAATGATCGAGTGAGAGGAATTCACGAGATGAGCGTGAAGAAGAACATAAAGAACATTGAGAAGAACAACTCTCAAGAACACAAGAAGAGGAACATTGAAGGTGAAGTTGAAATTTCGAACATTATATGCAAATAACAATTATGTAAAATTAGACAGGTAACGCTACGGACATTTGATGATATCCAACAAGGACGTACAGAGGATCGCTGAATCACGCATTCGATTCCTTTTTTCCAATGTTGAGCGATTTTTTTCGGGAAATAATCAGATATGGAAGAGTATGTTTGAATTCTCAAAAGAACAAATAAGATAAAATACCTCAAGTCCGCCAGTCTTCACAAGTTCATAATTGATGGTGCCTGGTTTAATCGCATCAATCAAGTCGAGCACAACACGTGCATTCGAAATCACTGGGTCTTGGAAACCTCTAATCGATGCCTTCTTTTGACTCTCCGCTAGCTAAACAACGACATTCAGTTTGTTTTTTTTTGTGTTCAAGTTATAAATCTCGTACGCAACAACTGTGGTACGCAAAAGAGGTCAGCTTTTCATTTGGAATATGCTGCGACAAAACACCAATTCAGGGAGCAAGTTTGCTGTAAGCATCATTGTATTATGATGAGAGACAAACCTTCTTATTAGCCCATGCGATGATCTCCTTATCAGTTGCAAGTGTGTCACCACTTTGAGTGCAGTGAGCGAGAACTGTTAACGTATAGGCGCGCATTAACTGCCATACGAGTGCTGCAATAAAAACACGAACATTACAGAAACAAATCGCATTCTCATTATTCCATCACAAACTTCATCGCTTGAAACATGGAACTGAGAACATTGAAATTCTTTCA